GGAAAATGATAATAAATATTTTTGGTAAAAACGCTGTTTGACAACGAGACATACCTTGTTGTGTTGATAAAATGCTTTGTATCCTCCGTCTAAAAGATAAATTTCGGGAAAGTTAAGCTCTGGATATCTGTGGCTATTTTGTTTGCGATCCATACTTCGAAGAAACCTCATTCTGTAAAATAAAAGATAATTTTGTTAATGAAGACATACATAGTCTGCCTGTTGCTCCCTGTTTCTCTTTGTAAAGATATCAACTCAAGGCTTCTCAATTTAAAGTCAGTTAATACTTACAGCTTAGGTCCTCTGTGTGACGAAAATTCACAGTGGAATATCAAAATATCGTTCTTTGCGAAATGAAGACGACTTTCCATGAAGGTTTGGATTCCTTGCTCAGTGTAGATGTTTATAGCACCTTGAATGTGACCGCCTTGATATTCGTATGGATAACGACAATCAATAACGGTAAAATTTGAAGAACTGTTGAAAAGACTGGACATTGTTGACGAATCTATAGTTGGTAGATCAGTATGCTTCCCAGACATAGTTGGCAAGCTGTGTGTAGAGCTGGCGTCACCGATCAAACCGAGGTCACATGCTTCCATTCGTTCCAGAGCTTTCATGACAAAGTCTTGATTATCTACTGACATTCTTTTCTTTGGAGATGTTGCGAAATCTTCGTCATCGGCAACTGCTTTCCGCTTGCAGGAAAACAGTCGTTTTCTGGATATTGTGGTTGTAAAACTTTTCTTCCTGTACGATGATGTTTCCGGAGAGCTGTCGAATCCACTGTCACTGGAGCCTTCGTTATCATCGAAGAAGCTCAGTTTAGTTGATGGCAAGTACTATAAAAAAGAGATCGTGTTTCATTGTAGGTGGGATGCCCTATGAATATCAGACATGTTTATGCTGGCGATTACGCTTGGAAGAGAAACACGGAAGAGTCCTCTTGACACGTTCCTTCTGATGACAAGTCATCTGCAGATGTCGCCATAGAGTTCGAAAGAGCAGGCTTTGATTACATACAGAGAAACGGTTTAAATACTTACGAAATTAGGAGATTCCGGTTCATGTGATTTAAATTCGTGTGTGCTTGAAAGAGCCATTGCAAGATATGTTGAAGGGTATAGAGTTGAAAGCTTTACTGATATCTGACTTGCGTCTGGCCTTATATAAGCCGAAGAAGCCATTGCGTTGTGATTGGCACATAAAGACCGTCTTGATTGTTCATATCGGTTATAATTATCAAGCTATCAATCCCTTCACGCCCAGTCTGATTGATTTGTTTGATTGCATTTTGAAATGATTGGTGAGTGAGTTGCAGTTTCATCTCGGCCAAAGTTGATCCAAAATTAAATCTGAACTATTCTCGTCCATTTGACGAAATTTGATATTAGACAGCCACATTTCAGTCACTTTGGTTATATTGTCCAAAACTTGAACAATTAGCATTTTTCTGACATAAACTGAGCAAAACTTTTCATTGAAAGAGACTTTTATTTCTTTCCAAACATAAAAATAACAATTGTAGAGATATTAACAGTAATTCGAGCAATAATAATATATATGAACAATTGAAATAACACATAGTATAAAATAATAACAAGAGAATTAACAGTCAAAATATCACAGATCTGCTTATCAGTAAATTGTGTAACAACACCTAATCGTTTTCACAGAACCAAGCAATTTAATAGGGCGACCGAATGACTCGTCGAGATCTTGTTCGCTTTTCTCCGGCTGTCCACGACTTTGATCGGACACGAAAATGGCGTAAGTCTTTTGAGTGATCTTCGTGTAACATTGGTAGGTAAGCTTGAGGATTACATTGAACCTGGATAAGAAAAGAAAAGAAAATTAAACACGACGTTTTTCAAACATTCTTGACCGATTGCTACTTTTGTGGGAAAATGATAATAAATATTTTTGGTAAAAACGCTGTTTGACAACGAGACATACCTTGTTGTGTTGATAAAATGCTTTGTATCCTCCGTCTAAAAGATAAATTTCGGGAAAGTTAAGCTCTGGATATCTGTGGCTATTTTGTTTGCGATCCATACTTCGAAGAAACCTCATTCTGTAAAATAAAAGATAATTTTGTTAATGAAGACATACATAGTCTGCCTGTTGCTCCCTGTTTCTCTTTGTAAAGATATCAACTCAAGGCTTCTCAATTTGAAGTCAGTTAATACTTACAGCTTAGGTCCTCTGTGTGACGAAAATTCACAGTGGAATATCAAAATATCGTTCTTTGTGGAATGAAGACGACTTTCCATGAACGTTTGTATTCCTTGCTCAGTGTAGATGTTTATAGCACCTTGAATGTGACCGCCTTGATATTCGTATGGATAACGACAATCAATAATGGTAAAATTTGAAGAACTGTCGAAAAGACTGGACATTGTTGACGAATCTATAGTTGGTAGATCAGTATGCTTCCCAGATATAGTTGGCAAGCTGTGTGTAGAGCTGGCGTCACCGATCAAACCGAGGTCACATGCTTCCATTCGTTCCAGAGCTTTCATAACAAAGTCTTGATTATCTACCGACATTCTTTTCTTTGGAGATGTTGCGAAATCTTCGTCATCGGCAACTGCTTTCCGCTTGCAGGAAAACAGTCGTTTTCTGGATATTGTGGTTGTAAAACATTTCTTCCTGTACGATGATGTTTCCGGAGAGCTGCCGAATCCACTGTCACTGGAGTCTTCGTTATCATCGAAGAAGCTCAGTTTAGTTGATGGTAAGTACTATAAAAAAAAAGATCGTGTTTTATTGTAGGTGGGATGACCTATGAATATCAGACATGTTTATGCTGGCGATTACGCTTGGAAGAGAAACACGGAAGAGTCCTCTTGACACGGTCCTTCTGATGACAAGTCATCTGCAGATGTCGCCATGGAGTTCGAAAGATTACATACAGAGAAACGGTTTAAACACTTACGAAATTAGGAGATTCCGGTTCATGTGATTTAAATTCGTGTGTGCTTGAAAGAACCATTGCAAGATATGTTGAAGGGTATAGAGTTGAAAGCTTTACTGATATCTGACTTGCGTCTGGCCTTATATAAG